CAGCAGCAGCAGCAGCAGCAGTCGCAGCAGTCGCAGGCTGGCGGCGTCGCTTCGAGTGCGCCGTCGGCAGGCTCGCCTGCACCTTCGAACGTGCCCAACACACCCAAGCTGGGCTCGGCGGAAAAGGGCAAGAAGGGCAACGCGCGACAGCGCAAGAATTCCAAGGCGACGACCAAGACGCCCGTTCTTACGGCTGCTGCCGTGCCCAGCTCGAGTGGCTCGGCGACCAACACCTCGGCTGCGAACAGCAGCAACGGGGCTGCAGCGCCCTCCACCCCGGCCACGGCGAATGCTGCCACGCCGGTGAGCACCAGCGTCACCACGCCCGGACGCGAGGCGATGGCTGGCAAGGAAACGACGGCGGGTGGCGCTCCACAACCCACCTCACAGCCCATCGAGGCTGCCATGCCGCCACCATCGGGTCCCGGCGCCAATGCGACCGATGCGAGCCACTTTGGCGGTGCGTCGGGCGGCAATGCAGGCGCCGACCAGTCTGACGACACGACGAATGTCAACGGCATGTCTGTCGGCGATGGTGGTGCCGATGGCAGCGGAGGTGGAGGCGGTGCATCGGGCGGTGCCGACGACTTTAGCATGTTTGGCTTCGGCGGCTCGATGAACGACATTTTCGACTTTGACCTCTCCACCGACGGCACGGGTGGCCAGAGCCTCGGCAGCGACGGCTGGGACAGCAACTTTGGCAACCTCTTTGGCTCGAGCTCTGGTGCTCAGGACGGTTCGTAGATGGCCACGCCGGCGGCGTAGAGCTCGTTTCTTTTTCTCTTTCTTCTTTGCGACGCACCCTCGATTTGGCGTATGCGCGAAAGAGGTGTGTGCAAGTCCTTTTTTGTGTCGCAGTCACCGGCTTTGCCTCGCAATCGACCCATTCCACAAACATCTGTCGCATTGGAACCAGTTGCCAATGCTGTCGGACCACCGCACAGTGTTCACACAGAGACTGTGTGTGCGCTTTGGCCGGGCGGGATTTTGGATCGGCCTCTTGTCACATCTCGGAACCTTTGAATGAGTGCTGGTGTAGGATGTGTTGCCTTGCGGGGCAGAGCAGCTCGAAGGAAGTGGCGGGGATAGAAGTGGGAGGGTCTGTGTAGCAGTCACCGATCTTTGCCACCAATCGACGCTTTTTCTTGCACATTGCAGCAGTCAGCATTGCGGTCGATACAGCCTACAAACGGTACTCGACTGCTTCAGCTTTCGCTGCAGTTTTCCAACGCAGACCGACCTTGCGAGCTCTAGTCCACCTGGCACCACCTCGGAGGATCAACACAGAGGACGTGTGTGAGGTGCGTCTCACACAGAGCGCTCGTCACAGACTTGGCGGTGATCCAAATCAACCTCCGAGTCAAGAGCGAGCTTTGGTATCAGCTTCTGTGTGACTACCATATCTCCCAACCTTGTTCCGATAGATCCTGCTCTTGCATTCGATATATCAAAGAGATCTGGAAGGTGCGGACGAAAAATGAATGTTAGGATGTGATCGAGTTACATTCCGGAAAAAAATGCGGATCACGTGTCGGGGGCTGCGCCCAGTTTTTGCCGGCCAAAAGGGTTGCGTTGGAAGATCTGCCAGATGGAGGTTTGCTTCGCATCCTCGCCATCCTACGACACCGGCGCTTCTAGGCTGCACTTCCACCACCACCGACCGGATTCTCGTCCATCCCAACTCATTCAACTGAACGGTGCGGCTCGGTCAAGATGTATTTGCTTGGAGTTCATCTCGCGGACCACAAGCTGGTTCGAGTAAGTCCTACCCCACACGCCTCGTCTCGCTCTCACTTTTCTCCGACTGACGCCTGGTTTGTGGACTTGTGCAGATTGCGCTCACCAACTTCTACGGGATCAGCTATGACACGGCCAACCGGCTGTGTGCACGACTGTCGCTGCACGATCGCGCCACCGTGGCGTCGCTAACCGAGGCGCAGATCACGCAGCTCTCGGCCTACCTCTCGTCGCCCGGCTCCATCCCACCTCGTCCAGCGCACCCCACATCACACGAGCAAGAGGCAGTGGAAAGGCCTTCGATGGGAAGTGCGGCGAACGATACGTTGCGACAGATCAAGATCGAAGCCGATCTCAAGCGCGTGCTGCACGCCAACATCAACCACCACCGTAATGTCGGCACCTACAGGGGAAGAAGACATGCGGCACATCTGCCCGTCAGGGGTCAGAGGACAAGTACGAATGCCAACACGGCCAAAAAGTTGAATCGGCTCGAAAGGAGGGGCTTCGCATCGCAGGCAACGCAGGCAACGCAGGCAACGCAGGCTAGGCCAGAATCGAGCCAGACCTCGTTGAAGGAGCTGCTCGAACCGCTCGCAAGGATCCGTTTCGCACAGCAATAGATCCCGTGTAGGCGAGGCAATGTATCATCACCAGTACCTCCACGTGTGAATCGGCGAGGAAAAGATCCAGAGCACGCGGAAAGAGCGCATGGTTGTAGGGATTGAGAGAATGCTCGGG